GCGTCGCTCTGCTTCCGCAGGGCCTGCGCGAGCCTGGGCCGGACGCACGCGCACCCGCCACGCGCGCGTCCGCCTCCTCGTAAAGCCCCGTGTGTGCTGGACTTCATGGCGCCGAAGTTCTAGAGAAACCGACATCGCCGCAGTTTCTTCCTACTCACGCCTGTAGGCTCGGTTTCTGTTTGTTTCCGTCTTCTCTACTGTCATGCCTGAAATTTAGGTAATTTTTCTACAAATTATATCACATCTGGTTTTAGATTTACCCTACGTTCTTCTGTTTTTATAGCAATTCAACATTGTAATTTTCACTGAATTATGCTGCTTAACTGTTCCTTTCTGGCCAATAGAAATGTCACGAATTTTTAATATATTTGTTATATTTCTAACCATTTTTTCCCTCATATCTCTTAATTCCACTGTTTTCTGTAACTTATTGGAGTTTTTAAATTAGAAAATTACATCATCCATGAATAATGACCATCCTGTTTCTTCTTTTCCAACAAATTACTTTTCATTCCCCTTCCTTCCTTCCTTCCTTCCTTCCTGTCTTCCTTTTTTCTTTATTGAATTGCGTTGACAAGCACAGTCATCACTGATAGCTTCTAAATTCTCCCCTTTGAGAATGATGATTGTGACATCATGCTATTGTTTAAATGTATCAGTCCTCTATAAGTAATGCACTGAAATGCATTTATGTGAATTTACTTCTCTGTTTGTTTTTGGCTTTTAAATACTGTTTTTTTAGACTTTGAGAGTTTCGTCCTTGAGGGAGAGTCTTCTCTTTTCTCTGCCTCTGCCGCTCTGAGTAAGCAGTTCTCGCCATCAGGCTCGCATTTCTCTGCTGGTTTAATTTGAATGTGCATGTTTTTGTACCCAAATTGCCTGACAAGTGTACTTAAAAGAGAACATTTGGAGTTCTGTGAATAAAGACACAATATTAGTGTATTTTATGCTGAGAGTCAAAGTGATCTCCTTTGTCAATTTACACAGGTAATGGATGGTTTCTCGAGAGTGTTGTTGTTAAGTCTGAAGAGGAGGATGGTGGACAAGAGGTGCTGTTCCCGTGCAACAGGTGTGTAGTCACTGCTGCCTCGTGCGCCACCCCGTGCCCTCCGTCTGGTCCCCCAGCCTGCCCCTCCACCTGTGTGGCCGCGTCATCCGCAGCTTTAAAACCAGAGCTGAAGGCTTTGTCTCCCCAGGAAGCTGGTCCTCACCCACCCTAGTCATTCTCTTGTTATCAGTAACATTTAGTATTTTCCTCTTTGGGAATAAGTGTGCTGAAATGGAAAGGAAGCTGAGTTAGGACTTAGAAAACAGGTTTTTGATTCTGCTTCTCAAGCATTTGCTGTGCCCTGCTAGTTCTTCAAACGTGAGTACTGCCCCCAGCTTCTCTGAGGTTCAATCTCTCGCGTGTAAAATGGGAATGTTATCTGTTCCTTCTATCTAGTTCATTTGAATCATTTAGAATCAAAAGAAGTTATATATATGTTGACTGTGACCGCTAAAGCATTATTCTCAAAGGGGGTAGATCTAATATAAATTGAGAGAATTAAGTTGCAGGAATTCATTGACCATTCATAGGTGTTTCACAAACTCTCTGATCCTCAGTTTCAGGATTTTATGATAAGGATGATTAACTAAGACCTACCTACTTTATCAGTTTGTAATGACAGAATATCAAATACATCTTGAAACACAGTGCAGTAAAATAGAAATTATAAAACTAATTTCCCTTTGTTATTAATTAATCTGTAGAACACGTTGATTCATTCATTCAGCCATTGTACAAACAGTAACTGACCATGAACCACGGAAGAGCGGGCCAGGAGATTCAGGGATAAGGCAATGGTCCTGCCTGTAAGGATGCAGTGGACGCCCACGTGGGAACAAGTGTGCACGTCCTGAGGGCTGTGGGGGAGACCTGTGCGACAGCCCAGGTGCCGGGGTGCGTGTCTGTGCAATTGCATGTCCTCTGAGTCTAGAGAATGCCTCCACGGCAGTGAGTTTATCCATTTATTCATCCGTTTGTCCAAGCAGAAACTTGCCGTGCCTCCTAGCGTCAGGCACTACACCACGTCCTGGATGTACAGACATAAAAAGGAAGTGCCCCTGCCTTCAGGGAGCGCCCACTTGATGATGAGGTAGGGGAGGAAGGACGTGGTCCTAAACGCAGCCCAGCTGCGCTGAGTTTAGCAGGTGTCCGGGCATCACTGTCTCCTGAGGCGCTGAACACTCTTGTAGACGCATGGGGAAGCACTGTGGTTGGCTGGGGGATCTCACCTTGCAGTAGTCCCGGTTCTAGGACACAGCCATTCTTTTGAAATTGGAACGAACTGCACTCTTCCTTGTGTGAACAAGATGTGTGACACTCCCTGGTCTTCTGTTCGTTTTCTTACCACACGTCCACTTAAAACGCTCGTGCATCATGGTAGCTATTGCCAGCTTATAACATTCAAGCTCTGGAAGGAGACCTTACATTTTTAGTTTTTGCAAGAGATCTTTTTATTTCTTAATGGGGAGAGAAAGGGGCAAAAATTGAAGATTTTCAGAACTGGCTTTGAATTACGACTCTTTCACTGGCTAGCAGCTCTGGGGAATCTCTGCTTATACTCAGGTAAAATAGCAGTAACGACACCTATTTTGCAAAGTTGTTTAAGGATCTCACACAGTTTACCTAAATGATCCATGGGAGTGTCTGGCGGTGATTAGAAGCTGCATGATGATAGATGCTATTGCAACAGAAGCAATTCTAGATTAAAGAAGCCTTTAGGTGCCAAGCCACACATGCAAATGAAGTGGGAAGACTTTTATTTCTAGAGTGCATGTCAAGTGTTTAGGACTCTCCAAATAATTAACTTTTATTTTTAAAAATCTAGATCTGTGTATATATATGTGTGTGTGTATGTACAATCAGTTTCAATGTTGTGTCAGTGTCTGGGGCACCGTCCAGCACCGCAGCCACCAGCTACATATGATTAATCAATATAAATTAATTAAGATCAAATAAAATTAAGAATTCAGTTCCTGGGAGGCACAGGCTGCAGTTTAAACGCTCAGCAGCCACAGATGGTTAGTGGCCGCTGTACCGGCCGGCGTACAGTCAGCATCTGGTCTACGTCACATCTAAATACTTGGTGTTATGTTAGGCTGTGTTTAATAATACACAACATAGTTTTATGCCTCTGAATACGATGGTAACTATGGGATGACACACAGGGTCAAGAAAAGATTAGTACTCTTGTAACATGTGTCATGTTAAAAAAAAAATCAACCACCACGCAGAGCAGGCGATACAGTCATACTCTCTTCAGAGCTAAAACCACGCTGGCCGGCAATGCCAAAAAGTTAAGAGGCAGGGTGGGAGTGACTTACCTCTCCGGGGTCTGCCAGCGTTTTGGAATAATCACAAACCTTGGCAGTTAGGTTTGGAAGGAGCAAAATAACACAAATGGAAGTATTTACACGTTGTGCTGTGTTACACTACAAATTCAGTGCTACACACGGCCTATCGCTGCACTGCCGCGCGAGCTGAGCTCCGGCAGTGCTGGGGCTTGGCCTTGCTCATTCGGTCTGGGGGTCCGGGCTACACAACTTAGAAAAGAGGGAGATTTTCTTGCTACTCAGTAGAGGTGCAAGAGCCTCGTTTGACAGATGAGAAAACTGCCACCTGAGGAGATTAAACGCTGTGCACAAATCAGAGACGAGCCAGTCAGTGCGGGGCCTCCTGGTCTCTGGGACACTCTGTGGGATTTTAATTTAGTGTCTGTCAACCTACTGTTTCCACTTTATGACCATGATTTTGTGAATTATCCTCTAAGGAAGATCTCTGCAAAAATTACGGAGTTCGCTATAAAATTGATTTGTCGGAAAATTCCGCTGAGATTTTGGAGAGTTCAGAAGACAGGTTTTACTGGTTTCCCAGCATAACTTGTCAGCCATTTAAACTGAAGTCCCCTTCTACTAATACAAAATGAAAAAGTGTCTGAAAAAGAAATGATTTAGGACTTCATTAAGAATTAAAAAGTCCCAAAATAGGGAGAATCTACTCTGCTGTTGGACTCTGTGAAGTTTACCCACCGTCCAGCCTCTTGTGCGACTAGGGGGAAAATCAGGGCACGTCCACAGCCAGCCCTCACCGCCCTCTGACTCGGGACCAGGCCCCACGGTGAAGCGAGAGCTCCGCGCACAAACTCACCCGATCCCCATAGACCCCCTCCAGACGCGCTCCGTGGTGCCTCTGTTTCACACATGAGGACGCGGAGACACACAGAGGTCAAGTTTCTTACCTAAGAGCGAGTGGCTGAGCCAGGCTTCAGGTCTAGGTGGGTCTAACTCTAGAACGGCCCTGTCCCAGACAGGGAGCAAAAGCTATGTGTCCGCTGAACCCTTGAATGGCGTCTATTCCAAATGGAGATGTGATGTAGGTGCACAGTGCATACCAGCTGTCAAAGATGCAGAATAAAGAAGAATGTAATCGTGTAAGTCCGCTCAGGCTGCTGTAACAAAGCACTACGGTCTGATGGCTTACAGAGATCTGTCTTTCCCAGTCCTAGAGGCTGGAAGTCCAAGATCAGGGTGCCAGCTTGGTCAGGTTCTGATGAAAACCCTCTTCCAAGTTGCAGACTGCCACTTCGCGCCCTGTCCTCTCTCGGGACCCCCTGTCGTAGGCACTAAGCCCGTCCCAAAGGATTGCAACATAAACGTCTGGGGGAGACAAATATTCAGACCATCGCAGTAATACAGCTGAGTATTTTTTTATACTGATTACATGTTGAAATGATCATCTTTTGAATTTATTAAAATAAAAATATGAAAATGAATTTCACCCTTTTCTTTCTTTTACACACATGGCTCCTGTTACGTTTCTCTTAGAGGGGCCTTCGCTAGAGCCTGAGGCTTAGCCGCTGTGCGCACCCACCAGTCACTGAAAGGGGAGGAACGAAGGCCTCCACGCTGGGAACTCCACATGAGAAAGTTTTACGGATTTCAAGATATAATAGAATATTTGTAATGTTGCCGTGGGATGCTTCTGAAAACCGCCAGGGAAGGATGAATCGGTGTGACCTGCAGTTTGGGTGCAGGACACGTGCGCTGCGGGTGCCCTCCTAAAGACTTCACTTTCCGCCGTAAGCAGTGTGCCTTCTTTACACCCCTCACCCTAGGCATCTTCCCCCTTTCCCCGGCAGGTGGCTGGATGAGTACCAAGACGACGGCAGGACGGAGCGAGAGCTGCTTGCGGACAGCGGATGTGGGGCAACGGGAGGGACTGCGTCTGCCGCCTCCTGAGAGGACCCCCTGGGTCTGCCGCTACCCTGTGGCCTCAACAGGCTCCTCGTCTGATGGTCACAGTGTGTCCGCCCTTCCCTTGTACTGGGACGCGCACGCAGCAGGGGCAGTTTGAGCCGGACACATTCACTGCTTTGGGGAGAAGCACCAGCCAACACCTGATGGAGATCAGCCCACGGCAGCTGGCGCACAGCTGTCTCCTCTTCTCACTTCCTCTTCCAGAAAGCCTGACACCTGCTAGGTTTACTGGCGTGTTCAGGTGGCTGTAGTGGGGAGTAACTGGAGGGGCCCGTGACGTCGGATTGCTGTGAGATGCTGTCACACAGCGTCGGTTAATTTTAGAGTGGAATATTAGAAAAGCTGCTTTCTTATTTTTATGTTTTCTCCTTAAATTTCTAAAACAAGTTTAAGGTTTTGAGCGACGGAATCCCTGTTAACAAAGCGCATAATCTCCCATCAGACAGGAGTGATCGACGGAAACCGTCTCTCGGTTTGCACTGGTCCCGCCTTCTCTGTACCCAGAGCAGGCTGGCTAGGTGGAGGGGAGCAATGACCAAACCTACCTCATTCTTTCGTAGGGAGCCATTACTCTTCCTAAAACTTGCCAAGATGGTGATAAAAAGAACGACACTCTAATTTTAGTTCTTAACTTGTTGACCAAGTAGCCTTGGGTAAACCGTTTCATCTTTTCAAGGCTGCTGCTCTCCTCGATAAAATGTGAATAGTGCTGCCCACCTCTCTGGGCTTATGGAAAGGCTGGAATGAGACAATGTACGTAAAACTGCTCTTAAACGATGAAAATCGTCGTCATCATCATGACAGTAACCACAACGTGGTTCATTTTAAAATTCTTGATCTTATCATGAGAACAGGTGTCTCTCTTCCGGACGTAGCAAATGGACAGTTGGAGGCTTCCGTAACTGATTCCCTTTTGAATGCGAACTGGTAACGTTTGTTTTCCTTTCAGCTTTACTCTTGATTGCAGACACTTTCGTAACAGCAAAGAGTAGGGCTACATCCTGGGTAGCCTGAGTCAAATTGGTTCATGGGGATGAGAATTCTGAGGAGGAGCTCTCTAAAGACTTAGGACTGCTGTTGTGCTCCATTACAACCAGGATGGGGTCACCACGGCAAGATGGAGTTACAGGAAGCTCTTTGTATCCTAGGATGCCACTTTCATTTTAAATTAATGAGCTAAAAAGGAGAGATCTAACTGTACTTGACACCTATAAATGTGTAATGGTATGATTAACAGTGGCCTGTCAATTATTCATATATGGATTACTGGCAAAATTGTAAAAGCAGACACTGAAGTGTTTAGTAACTTTTCCACAAAAGATAGCAGTGTAACTCTGAGAGCAGTCACAGAAGTATCTGCGACGCGGCTGGGATTTCTGGTCTAGAAACTGCGGGGGCGAGGGAGGGTTTTAGAGTGTGTTTCATGCGTGACTCCAAACCTACCTCCCCGAGACGGATGCAGGAGAGGATGGCTTACTGCAGCTGGCTGTTACTAAGCTGTCCGGTCTCAGCCACGGGGCCAGATCGCTAGGGGACACCTGGAATTAATGGACCTGTTACTGCTATCCGGGAGACCCTTTGTCTTCTCGGTGGACATGCTGACTCTGAGCCACGGGCAGGGTGAATGACGGGGGTTCAGCGACATTTGGGGTCTGTGCTGCAGAGGCAGCAAAAGCAACTGAACCACTTACAGAAATCTGAGACTCTTCCTAGAAGTTGTGACACCATCTCTGGTAACCGCTCTGCAACTCCTTGAAACCCACGATCGCGTCCACAGCCCAGCCCTGTAAAGGGGAAGCCGTGGTGGCCTCTGGTGGCCTCGGGCTCCGTGCACGTGTCCAGCTTGCGTCTGAAGCCGGGGACTGTCTTTACGACCGGCTCAGCCCCGCCTTGGTGTCTGGGCTGCGATGTAGGCTTCCAAGCCCAGAGGGTGAGAAACTTAAGTCCCGTCAACCATTTAATGTCTAACAAATTGGCTTCGTCAGACTTTTAATTAAGAAAAAGTCCTTCACTGGAGGAAACAGTTCAATCTGTTTCCTCTACAATCCTGTGAACAGCAACAGTACAGGAAGACCACCACCCTCGGCCCGACTTCTTCCCGGCGCACGTCCGCCGGTGACGGCGGCACGGGGACGGAGGACGAGACCGGCCGGCTGCGCTGTCGGTGCCGCGCGGCCCGGCGGGGGCCGGACTCGGACGCCTAGCAGTCGACCCCATGGAGACCGGCCACGGGATCTCCTCCTGGACTTGACTTACTCGCTTACTCGATCTTTTTTATTTTTTCATTGCTGGTGTCTGGGGGCAAGTGGGCATTTTTGGGCGAGTCACCTTTTATAAGGCCCCAAATTTTATGAAAAATGTTTAATTCAATTTAACTGGAACAGCTCAAAAAATATTATTTGGTTATACTCTTCTCGCAAATATTAACTAGCCTAAGCCCTGTCATCTGGCAGCCAGCAGCCAGCAGCTTTCTGACAGCAGTTGACAGCGCTGTGTTGGCGAATCTGTCTTCCCCGCAAACGCCCCGCAGCACACGCAGCAGCGAGGTGCACGCCTTCAGGGCGTTCTTCGCATAAAACACCTGTTCCCCTGTAGACCCTCGTTGCTCTCTTGTCTTGCTAGTCTAGCAACGTGGTTTTAAAGGCTAGCTGGTCAGTAACTCAGTCAAGAGAGTAATTATGTTGGAATAATTCTAACCAACTACAAGTTTATAAAGGCAGCGGTAGACAGGCTGACGCGCTAGTAGGCTCGGGCAGTCAGCGGGACCAGGTGTACATACTAATTCTCCTACTTACAGCTGAGCCCTGACTTCCTTATTTGGAAGGTAAGCTTACCAACCCTCGTTTGCAGGGCGATTGTGAAGGTCCAGGGAGGACCACTTGTACCTGTTTAGCTCAACGTGCATGACGTGGCATTTCCTGGCATTCCCTGGCATTCCGGAAGTGGCAGCTGGTAACACGGTTGAGTCCCTGCAGCCCCGTCAGCGCATCCGCCGCCTCCCGCGCTCTGTTGCTGACCGCGTCCTGCACGTGCTCCCCAGGCACACGTCTGGGCCAGCTGCGAGGTCTCACTGCCCCTGCAAGTCTTTTCAGATGGAAAAGGAGCATGTAAAACACGAGGGGAGCTCTGACTGTAGCTGCTGGTCCTCTCTGAGGAGAACTGCTCAAAGAATTGTCTGCAGAGAGGAAAGACCAAAACACCTTACCAGGTAAAAATAACTGTCAACTAGGCTTTGAGAACAAGTCAGCGGAGTGTCACATTTTGTGACCCGTCCCTCCTCTTGATAACTGCTTATGTGTTTTCACAGTCACTGAACACGTGGCGCTTTCCAACGGTAACAGTGGGTCAAAGTTCGATTTTCACATAATTCCCAGAGTATAAAACCCCATGCGTAGTCTTACTGTTAAGAATCCTTGTTATTCAAAAGCATAAACCACTGCTGTCCAGGTTTTGTGTTTAGTGCCCTGTGCCCTGGCTGGGAGACGTGGCGAGCGCTCACTGCAATCCGGTGATGAGCTACTTTATTATCAAGTGCACTGGGCTTTAGGCTGTGGTCTGGTGTCGGGAACGCGCTGAACAAGGGCGGTAAGTAAGGGCTTTATTCTGTCGGTTGGGGCAATTAACAAGTAGTTTGACAAATGAACAAACAAAATAATTTCTGTTAATAACATGTGCTGGAAGAGTTAAACAGTATGATGGGATAGAGAACGACTAAGGTCGTGACTACAGGGCACAGACCATGTGGGGTTGGTCTTAAAACTGGGAGGGGGGTGGCTTCTGTGATTTTTTTTCCATTGGTAAAATAATACAACTTAATTTAAGAAAATTTAGAAAGCACAGAAAATTCTTTCTCAAACTTGCCTTCAATGGCTATATATACCACTGCTTAACCAATCGTTTTCATTAATGGGTCCAAATAGGTCCATGAATGCAAGGACTCATGCTTTTTAAAAATTTATAGACTTTATTTTTTAGAGCAGTTTTAGGTTCACAGCAAAGCTGAGTGAAAGTACAGAGAATTCTCATTACGTCCTGTCCCCGACCTGCACAGTCTCCCCTAGTATCCACATTCCATACCACAGAGATACATTTGCTAGGAGCAGTGACCCAAAGACGGAACATCATTGCCATCCAAGGTCCATAGTTTACATAGGATCCACTCTTGGCATTGTACATTCCATGGGTTTGGACAAATGTATATGACATGTATCCGTCACTGTAGTGTCATGCAGACTAGTGTCCCTGCCCTAAAGATCCTCTGTTGTCTGTCTGTTCATTCCTCCTGCCTCCCTACGGCCTGGCAACCAGTGATCTCTTTCACCATCGTTGCGGTCTTGCCTTACCAGAATGTCAGACAGCTGGAACCACACAGTGGGCAGCTGTTTCAGACCAGCTCCTTTCACTTCATAATGCACAGTTAAGTTTCCTCCATGTCTTTTCATGGCTGGATGGCTCGTTTCTTTTTAGCCCTAGGACACTGTTTCATTGTCTAGATACACCATAGTGAATTATTTACCCTGCTGAAGGACATCTTGGTTGCTTTCAAGTTTTGGCAGTTACGAACAAAACGGCTATAAACATCAATTGCAGGTTTTTGCGTGGACTTAGTTTTAAATTTGTTTGGGTAAATACCGAAGAGAGTGAGTGCCGGCGTGTATTCGTTTTGTAAGAAACTGCGCCTGGACAGAGCATCTGCAGAAGCACACGCCCCCGGTGCTCGGAGGTCTGATCCCGCAACCCCTTAGATTTCAACGATGAGAAGTTTCGTTTTAGTTCCGTTTGCACACGGCTGCTGGAGAGAAAGTGAGGTATTTTTCACCCTCATTTCTTCAGCAGCAGAGTTCTTGCCCACAGTGGGAATGAGATGCGATGGGAAAAATGAACTAATTACTGGATTTATAGTCTTGTCCTGTCCTCCTTGTATTGATCAGCAATTAGGATTCTTCACAGATCATTGACTTTTCTTTTCAGGTAAACACATTTCTGTGAGTTTTGGACATTGTGGACCAGAATTTATTTTACATTACCAAGTAATAGTGTCCAGAATTATCTGCGTTGTGAAGTCTGTTAAATGCTGTTTATGGGGTAGTGCTTGGGTTTAGAAGTTAAGCAACTGAATGTACCAATGTCCTCTTTGCCAGTTTCGTGGGTAGACAGATAAATAGTTATTGGTAATACTTATGGTAGTTTCAAGGGTTTTAGACTAAAAGATTTCCATCGGTCAGACTTTATAAGAATCACCTGAGGGACTTACCAAAATACAGATTACTGGGCCCTAAATCCTGGAATCTGCGTTAAAAAAAAATGAATGCAGTTTCTGTGTGTGCATTCTCGGCATTGCTGGGCTTGTCTCTTGAGGTCAACTCGAAATTAACAGCGTTTGTTCTGACTGTCTGTTCCTGTCGTAACTGGCAATTCTAAAGCAACAAAGATCAGAAGTTCTCCAAT